ACTAAATTTAATGATGGTGTCTTAAAATAGACAGTTTAAAGAGTATATACATATTGTTTCAGATTTTTTTAGAAATATTTAATATTTTTAAAAAGCCCAAGACGAAAAGGACCCATGTCCGGCGAATTAAGATGCCAAAAAACACGCCGTCCGTTGAGGGTTAATACAACACACCGCATCAAATATCAAACAATTAACTAATATACAGAGAGTTACATGCGTTTCCATACCATTGTATTCATATTGTTGTAATTATTTATGTATAAAAATGTCAAAAAAGTATATTACATTGTATCTTATTCAGGGAATAAATACATGTATTAAACATCGTATTATACGTATTATACGTATTTTGTGTATAATACATACGGAATGTAAAATACTCTGTATATTATGTATTAAAGTGTATACTATGTCTTTTCTTCCAAGTTTTTAAGGATATACTTCCGAATGACCCCTGCTCCCAATCAATCTGAAATTTTGCACAAAAATAGTGTTCGATGGGACAAACAAAACGCGCGTAGTCTCCACTTCTAAAATCGATGTGAGCAAGTCTAATTTATTAACAATTATATACAGTTGCGCCGCAACACATATTTCGTCCGGCGATAAAGCACGGCAACGCGAAACTCGCTGATCGCACTCGATCGTAGCTACAGGCCGCCACCACGGCACGATCACGCTTTTCTTTTTCGTTCAATCCGAACGCCGAATCTCGTCAGCACAGCCACTCTCGCCACAATCTTATTCAGCACTCTCACACCGCACCGTGGTTAAAATTAAGCTACAAGATGTTGTTAAGCTTAGTTTACTAATGTATGCTGAATAACGACCATATGTTGTAAAAATTCAAGTTATTTATTATTATTGGTAGAAACCAATCTCCGTTTTCGGAAAGACACGCTACTAAAATCCAAGCTATTTCTATGGTCTACACTGTTCTACTTAATGCAACATATATAGCACTAGACATGTTGCGTAGATGGGGAAAGTCACTCCACATCTGCTTTTCGTGAATTCAGGTTTATTTTATTTAAATTGACTATGATGAGAACTTGACCTCGTACACGACCGATGGTACAATTTTTTGAGAACTCGGTCTCGTATGCGATCGGTAGTAGAATCTTTTCGAGAGCTTGGTCTCGTATAATCGACAATATTATTCTTTGAGAGCTTGGTCTTATGGTCAACCATGTTTCTTTTTTACTGAAAACTTTTTTTGATGTCCACGTTCCGGCACTCTGCAAATATCAGAGAGGGGATAATCGATCGCGCCAATCGCGCGATAGTAGGCGTTGATTATAACGACATATGATCGTTGAACTCGTCACAGCAAGTTCGACGAACCGTCTCCGCGCTATCGTTCATCTCTGATGTATGCTGACGTGTGAATATACAAGCAATTTAATCGATTTCGATGAACGCTGCGACATGAGTCGATAGTGGGCCCACTAATATTACTTTTTGTTTATGTCATATCGACACAAGACAATGTAAGAATTGTCACGATGATTTGCATAAAAATTATTTATTTACTTACAATTTATTTACAATGGTCACAACAGATATATATCGTTTATAAAGGCCAAATACTACAAGTATGTTGCAAGTAATTGCAATGCACCAAAAAATTACTGTTTTCTAAAAACTTTGTTCTTAGGAAGAACTTTCTTTGAATTAGGTTTCTCTTTCTTAGGAAATCTAATCCAGGTTTCCTTAGAAATTATATTTAGGTTTCTGCAAAAAAGGTTCTTTCTTAGGAAAATATAATTTATACAGTTTTCTTGTAAAAGATTATAAATGTGACGATGTTACAATAATTATAACTTATAATTACGCGACTATGCTAATTGATTGGTAATATTTGACTGTAACTGGCTCACTGTATCTGACTGCTTGACTCTGACTGATTGCGTCTCGGTTTGAGGGCGCGTTTTATGGGCCTCAGTTTGGTCACGGAAAGTTCTAGAATTTTCCTCATTTGGTAATGTTCTAGAGTCATCTCGAATGTTCTAGATTCGGATGCGCGCTAGAGCGAGCATTTCCTGTGTCAAAGATTGCCTTATATGGTAAGGTATTTTGAAGGGTCGACAGTGCGTCATGGTTTTACCGTTAACCGTCGCACTCTAAAGTAAACATGGAAGATTCTAAAATCTATGTGTAGCAACTAGACTACGGTAGACAATGGTCACAACAGATATATGTCGCTTATAAAAGCCAAATACTACAAGTATGTTGCAAGTGATTGCAATGCACCAAAAAATTACTGTTTTCTAAAAACTTTGTTCTTAGGAAGAACTTTCTTTGAATTAGGTTTCTCTTTCTTAGGAAACCTAATCCAGGTTTCCTTAGAAATTATATTTAGGTTTCTGCAAAAAAGGTTCTTTCTTAGAAAAAACCTTTTTTGCATTAGGTTTCAAATAAATAAAAATATACATATGTTAACATCAAAGATGTATCATCGAAAATATATCAGACTGATACTTAGTATCAAGTTGCTCTTGAAACTCTGATGAAGTGAGCTAAAATGTTCGCGAAACATCAGTATAAAAATGACACTAACGCGGCTCAAACCCGGTCAAAACATCTTCGAATATTAACCCTCAACGGACGAACATGAGTCGTTTTCGTCTGGAGCAAAATTACTTTCTGAAAAAAGTAAGTTTCTTGTTGTCATATTTGGTAAAAATTATGAATTAAAACTTTTTTTTTCACTAAATTTAATGATGGTGTCTTAAAATAGACAGTTTAAAGAGTATATACATATTGTTTCAGATTTTTTTAGAAATATTTAATATTTTTAAAAAGTCCAAGACGAAAAGGACCCATGTCCGGCGAATTAAGATGCCAAAAAACACGCCGTCCGTTGAGGGTTAATACAACACACCGCAAAAGCATCAAATATCAAATAATTAACTAATATACAGAGAGTTACATGCGTTTCCATACCATTGTATTCATATCGTTGTAATTATTTATGTATAGAATATTCGGCCACCAGAACGTGTGACAAACTTTGGATGGCTGTTGGAAATATATGTAGAAAATACAGACATTGTACTATAGTAGAAGAAAGTTAAATATACTATTACTATCATAGTTATATAGAGGTCTAAATGGAATAGTGTTCGGAATATATGACTCTATTGCAAGTTAGAGACACGTGGCCTCTCTTATCCAATTCCTATCCTCACCGCCTAATGGTGAACCCCGATAACTTGAGCAACTCCGTAGAAAATTGAGTAACCAACCCCAGTGGGAAGCAGAGTCAAGGCCAACGAGGAAAGAAGAAATGGTCCCTCGATAATTGGGGGGTTGAGCAGAAGGCTAACTACCTTCTCCTGGAAAAAAGTCTAATTGCGAGTATTCAAGAAAGAGAAGTCGGATCGATCGAAGAAAACTACGCAATAAAAAGGAACATGAGTTAAAGATTGCGACATGAAATATCCGATCCTTCTACAGGCAGGGTGCACTTCATAGCATAGCTTTTCGAAAAAGCATCTATGCGCTCCGAGAGCACGCGATCTTCCTCTCTGTTCTGCAAATAGCGCAAATACGCTTCGATCGAATACTAAAAAGTTATATACGTGTTACATATTGATATCACAAAATGTGTTGAAAAATATTAATCTCACATTATAAACGTATATTTAATGTACACATTATACAGACATAAATTTATAATAATTTGTACTAATCATTTGCTGTGTTTCTAATACATTGCTATACTGTAAATTTTGTTACTGAAAGATGTTATAAAGTTTGCTCTTACTAAAATTACATTATATTATAGTAGCTACCGAGTTTTTAGTTAGATATTTGTGTAAGTTTGAAACCTGTTGATAGATTTATGTTGAATCTTTCCTAAAGTCAATTGTGGCTCAAACACGATAGAGAAAGAAAGAGGAATTTACTAATTAAAGCTGCGTTTTGATATTTATTGTGATCTTCTACATACTACAAATCTCTACTTCACATGTGCTATAGATTTCCAGTATTGGCAGTGAATATCAGACCGCAGCCTATAGCAGTATTTACTACATATTACATTTCTCTTGAAGAACTTTTATTCATGTATCGAAACTCAATTCTGAGTAAACTGTGGCGAGATAAAAGTAAGAGAAATAAATTTAGTAATTATTTAACTTTTCATGTATAAAATTTTTGACATAATAACGTAAAACCCGATATAGATCGTCTTAACAATGTGCAGTAGTGTCCGTGAATATGCTACCAAACTTTATTTTCATCAAATTAGTAAAATCAAAACAAGAAATTATTTAAAAACCATTCTCAAAATATATAATAAATATATGAATATATAAATATATAAGTGTTCATTAGAGTCATACGCTGAGTGTTTACTGTGAAAAAAAAAATTATATAAATATATATATTTTTGTATATATATATATACAAAATACGCGACAAACATCGTATGGCTAAAAATTCTCTTATTGACCAAAAATTTCACGTTGTTTTGTTATTATAAATGAAAAATAATTGTATACTTATTATATCTGTATTTTAAAGAAAGTTGCGACGTTTGTATACACATGAAACCGTCTCATACACACAAAACACTAGTCTAAAATAATACTACATGTATACTCAACTAACACATAAAATATTATTACTCATGTTCTATTAAATTATAAATCGGATTGACACAGTCGTAGAACACACTACTAGCCAAAAGTCTGTTCAAAACCTCTATGATCGCGTCAAGCGTGACAGTACCGTAAGTCATCGTATGTCTCTGCGTGTAACAAGAACAAAACTTTACATACTAAATCAGAGAAACTATATTGTTCAATTAATTTTTTTAAAAGTTGTAAGAGTGTTATTAAGTCTTTTGCATGTAAAAGTAATTTACTTGCAATAAATCTTTTACAGTTTCGCGAGCGCACCATTGGCACATTTAAAAATAATTTACTAAAACTCGTTTTTGATTTTTATAACATCTCAATTGTATAGTTTCAGAAAAACATATCTACATTCTGAACCATTTTCTAGATACAACATGTCAAAACATATGAACGTCTAGTAAACAGTGAAAATATATATTTCGAAACTCATATTTCTATACATATGTACATAAATTACAACGTAAGTAAGGTCGTTTCCCCGTGTATACGGGTGTTTACATCGTGATATGTATTTATTATTTCACGAAAACGACTGTCTTGTAGTTATTGATCATCTCTCCAAGAAACAAGATCGCAGATATTCTTACGCAAATCGTTTTTGAACTTATATAGTGATAATACGTATAAAGTGTAAATTAAAATTTATATTTTAGAAGATACAGATATTCTCTCAAACATAGTAAGTTATAAAAAGCTCGTATATTATGTGGTAAATATTCATTATTATTGTTGTGAAATATATCTTGTAGTTTACACCACACGCTAAAATTCTATAAAATTCGTTAGAGAGAAAGAGTTTTCTTTCTATTAAAAAAATGTATATCTGCTTTAGTTTATCACTTATTGTATAAATTATAATACTTGTACATAAACCATACGAAACTATTACATAACTACTACTGCAATCTACCAATATCGTATTTACATTGACATAAGTTGCAAAGTGTGACATACTATATAATTAAAACGCGCTCAAAATTTGTAGACAAACTTTTCGAGTATAACGTTGTTTGTTCAAATAACAGATTGTTAAAATTGTTTATTACACTTTGTGTTTTTCTTTTTCCAATTGTTCTTCTATATGTCAAATTACCGCAATCATGACAACTATTATGCGAGTGTATCTATATGCGTACGTAATAAACATAAAGACATCGAAACCAAGTGATAAACATATTCTAGAACGGTCATACATATCTGTCTTTGACAATTATATCTGATAAAGAATTAACAATTAATGTGTACATTTATAATTTGTCTGTTGCGTCTTTAATGGCATATGCATTTCTTGTTTAACAAACAAAATAATTTTTTAGATTCACAGTATGCAGATGCTTACATTCTTTGGAACTTTGAGCTTAATATTTCTACCTAGATTTGCTTTTTCATCTGATGAAAAGTTATCTCAAGACCAACAATGTATACAACCGATTGAATATATTATGAATATTTCAGCGGAAGTACATAATAATTCACTCAACGTCAATTCTCGTGTCAAACTCAACATTTCATGTACAGACCAGAAAATACGACTGTATGTCAAACACTATTGTAATGTTATATACGATTTTAACATCATTACTAACATTTCTCGGTATAATTATTCGCATTGGTTATACGAGCCACTTTCTACGAAAGAAGGATTCATTGACATCGTTCTCAAGGACCAATATATAGAAGATTTTAAAATAAAACAACGAAAAAAAGATATACAACCTGGAATATATTGGATAACTGCGAAATATAATTGCATTTTAGAGAAAGTTGCAACAATTATCCCATATGTACCTGAAACTAAAAAAGAAAAGTGAGTAAATAAAACGCTACTGCAGTAACAATTTCTTTTTTCGTTCTGTAGAAATAAGATGTATACAGTTTTAGTAGTTACATATCAGTGTATATTTATAATCTACGTTTTTTCATTATATAGATATTTGATTTTACCGCGTATTCCCGCTGAATGGATTTTTCCTTATTGGAAAAATCCTGCAATCAAGGCTGCATTTACTATTCAATTTAACCATACCTACAATGAAATAGTTTTATCACATACGGTTGGTGATAAAAAGATTAAAACAAATCAGTTCTATACATTATTTCCTACTACACCTAAAATATCTACTCATTTGGTAGCAACAGCAGTATTACCAGAATATACCGATGAATCAACGTATACCGATTATTATATGAGTGCTTCCTTGTTGCATTATACACGTGCTACTATTAAAATTAGATTGCAAGTGCAAAACGACATTTCATACGCAATATTACTTATAAAAAATTTTCTGACATCTATCGACGAGAAGAAAGAGTATATCACATCAGTCTCATACGTGCAGTATTTAATACTTCCAAACTCCAACAATTACGAAACCATAGTAACTTCTGGACTTGTATTCTTCAGGTAAAATTAACTTAAAACAATCATACATATGATAAAAACGACAAAATTGATGTAAGAACAATGTTATTTTTAGAGACGCTAGTATTGCATACAATAGAAAAGTAGATTCAATTATAAAACAAGCAAAAGTAACATGCTTGATTGTACGCGGTGTGCTACAAGAAATGTTCAGCGAATGGTTAGTTACATTGAAACAATCTGATTTTTGGTTCCTTGAAGGGTTTTTGACATTTTACGGAGTTTATTTAGTCGATCAAGTAAGTCTTGCATTTAATAGAATTTTGTTGATAGATGACACTAAAATATTATGATATAATAAAACATTTTAATACTATATATATGTATAATATGTAACATTAATACTTCAAAAGTGTATATTTCTTGTATTTTTATTAAAAAATGCATTCTATACACTTCAATACTAAATATATACATGTATATGTATTTATAATACTCTATATATATGCGAAACAATATAAAAAAAAAAAATATTATGTAGTCATCTTAAAAATTATGTTAAAAAATTTTAGTATCACCTTCTATCTAATACTTTAATGGAGAATCCCGATAGCAAAGATTTCTATTGCGCAGATCGACGGTTGCACAGATTCCGTTTGCCTAGATTCCGTTTGCACAGAAAATTCTTGCGAATAGTCATCATTGCACAGACATGTTATAGATTAGGTTAAGTTAGATTTTTTCGGAATGGGGGTGCAGGAAGGGTGGCGAAGTTCCTCACTCGCCTACATATAAAATATAGTGTGCGATTTAAGCAAAATATTTACTTTGTAAATGTAATAATACTGACTATGCGCAATTGGAATTTGCGCAAAGATTTTCTGTGCAAACGGGACCTAGGCAAACGGAACCTGTGCAACTGTCGATCTGCGCAAAAGTATCCTTGGCTATCGGCGTTCTGCCATACTTTATACAAGGTGTCCCATAATTGCCGTCTCACTGCTCGTAGGGAATAACCCCTTCTTCTGCAAGAAGAAAAGTCCTATATCACTTTGGAAGATTTGCAATAATTAACGAGATATGAATTAATAAAGATCCGCTACTCCGAGTGCATCCAGCGTAAGGGGGAGTGTAAGGACAGCCTACAGCCAATTTTTTCACTTCTAGATAAGTTTTCGATAACTTTATCTAGAAGATATCTCTCAAAATTGGTTCTCCTTATTAGTTCTCAGAGAAATTTATCCAGAGGATAGTTATCGAGAAGTATGAAGAAATCGGCCCCGCTAGTCTTTCTCACGGATAGCGCGCTTTCCGAACGCAGCTTATAGGCTGTTTATGTATAGGGGCAAATGCTATTCTATTAGCTCCTCCCGCATTGGCGCGTCCGCGCGAAAGACTACGCTGTCCTTACGCTAGATGCACGCTGATTAACGGATTTTTAGTCATTCATATCTCGGTATTTATTGCAAATCTCCCAAAGTAGTATAAGACTTTTCGTCTTGGAATAACCCTTTCTTCTTGCCTACGACCGGTAAAACTGCAATTATGGGACACCCTGTATATGCAGAATGATATGAAAGAAAACAGATACGTTTTAAGTAATGAATTTAAAATATATGTTGAAAGATTTTAGTGTCACAATTTATGTTCAATTAGTATTTGTAATATTTATAGAAAATCTTGGACGATATTACTAATAATAATTTGCATATACTAAATCTTTTTCTATTATTTGAAATTCCTATCAATTTGGTGGATTAACATTATTCATTACATGTATTCTTTCATTCAAAAGTAAATAACAAAATTAAAATAGACATATGTGTAATCATACAAACTGTGTTAATAGATTTACAATGAAACTTTACTGAAGTCGATTGCGATCCAGACACGACGAGTAGGTTTTGAATATACAGAAGCATTTATTGAACATGGTTTACCAATACAAAACAATTTATTTCCTCAAAACGTAACACTTAATATCATGTGGAAAGAGAAAGGTAAGATAACTCACAATGTAAAACTTTTAATTGTCTAAGGTTTTGCTCATTAAATTGCAAAACAATATAAAATCTAAGTTCATATATCTTAAGACTATAAAGACTGAGAACACAAAAACTGAGAATATGCAATATACCGTGCGCGAAGTTTTCATCGAATTATACAATTACAATCATTTAAGTATTATTGACTATACATTAAAAAAAAAACATATATTTACATATACATATAATATGTATATTTTTGTATACTTTGATAACTTTCACATATTCGAAATTATGTTGTAGCATTCAATATATTTTCTATGATTAATACATTGTGCTATGACAAAGAAGTTTTATACAATTCAATTTTTAAGGAAGCGATAAAATTGTATTCTACCATGTGAGTAATTGTTATTACAATACTTGAAAATACTTGAAAAATGTTTAAGAACTCGTTAGTAACACTATATGTACGTAAAATGTACAAATTAGCACATATTTTTCTATAAAACTTAAAATAAACAACAATATAGGTTTTGTTATGACCTTTCTTGTTATTAGTAGGAATACATCAAGTGATACATTTAATGAACAGTCTGTTCTGGATATTTTATGGAAAAATATACTTGATGTGCCAGCTATATATAAAAATATTCGTTTAGAGACTATAAATATAAAAAATGTGATAACTTTTTGGATAACACAAAATGGCTACCCTGTGATACAAGTAACACGAGACAATGATACACAGTCTCTGGCAATAAAACTTATAGATTGTATCGCAGTTAATCAAGAGGAATTGTGTGAACACATGTGGTGGATACCTGTAACCTATGTAAAAATATCGAGGAATGTGTCTACTAGAACTTATGTGCACTTAAAACCAGACGGGAAAAGTATCTTTGTTCCGTATATTAAAGAAAATGATTTTATCATTATTACGGATCAAAATGGTATTACAATACAAATAAATTATGACTGTAATGTACTACGTATTTTATATATGATTTTCAACATTTTTAACACCGTATTACATTTATTTTTTTGTTTTTACTTAATCTTTCTTTTCCTTTTTACTCCAATTTTTTACTGTTTGTTTTTGTATACTTTTCTTCTAAACATTCATTTACATTGTACTAGGATATCGTGTGACCTATGATTATAAATCATGGACAAATATTGCTTTCTTTTTGGAAAATAAAAATCATACGATTTGGGATCCATATGAAGTATCTGACGTCACTTTAGCCCAAATTCTCGACGATGCTTTTTATTTTTTAATACAAAATACAAAGTACAACGAACAACCTGTTGCAGGAATGAGTAATATAGACACATTTTTCAATCTTGCGGGCAATGTACTTTACGTGAAAAATGGGTACATAACATGGTATCCAATATTTAATGCTCTTCAATATGTATCACAAATTTTTCCGTTTCCAGAAAGCGCAAAAATCAAGGTAAATACCACATTGCACTGATACAGAACACAATAAAAAAAATCAAAACACAATTTTACTTAAAAAATCACTCAATGAAAGAGTCTTCTAATATACACGGTTTACGTTACACATTTTTTTCTCCGTTTGTTTTTTCTTACCTGACAACAAAAAAACCCACTAGATAGTAATATACATATATATAACATTGTCCAAAAAAAACGACTAAACTAGTGTGCATTTAGAAACGTACATATATTAAGAAAATTAAAATATAAACTGTTTCAAATTACAAACCTTTATAGATGTACAGTAATTCTGAAATAAGAAAACATTTGGCTACACTTTTGAGTTACAGATTAATCAAAATACATATAATAACACAATTTACACTGTTTTTTATAGGACAAAACAATAGAAATATTGAATAAATTTCTTGAAGATACATCACATATAAATGTTTCCGAGAATAGCATTGATACTCAATTATATCACGAAGCTTTAAAATGGACATGTATTCTTGGTAGTTCAAAGTGCAACGAACACCTTACTGATATATTAAAGTGGCATCTACAAAATCCTGCACAAAACAAGTACGTTTTTCTATTTCTTTAATTTCACCTGACGTATAACACTTTGCTCTACTGATATATTATACATAATGTCATATATCTGACAGCATGAGTCTTGATATAATATTATGATATTTGTACGAATAGTAGACGGTCGCGAGTGATTTATTTTCTAAAAAAAGTACAGTTTTTTACAAACCGTACATAGATTTGTACAGTACAAGTACACATATAGTTACATATGAAGTTAAATAAACATGACCTCAAAAAGCGTCTTCTTTTTACGATTATAAAAAACGTAATTGCTGCTGTGGTATGAGTGATGATATATCATTACAATATCATGAAAAAAGTAAACTCGTCCGAATGATAAGTGTATAAGTAAAATTATATATATAGTTTTGTGAATATTTACAGATTGTTGGTAAGTTGGAAGAGATGGATATATTGCCAAGGTGTAGCATTACGAATTATAAGTGATTTTATGTTGTTGCATACAATACGAAACATTTATTTGTCACAAGAAAAGCACAACCAATTTTTTCAGCTTTTATTTTGTCGTGGACACAATTATAAATTAGAAGTGCGTTATGCACAAGAACATCATTTAGGAGAAGAAAGTGATTTTGTTAACCTTCTTTTTGATATTGTTGCAAGACATGTAAAAAAGTTTTCTTCACTGGATATTATAATAAGACAAATACAAGATAAATTTCCAAGGTGAACAAAGTTTTCTAAATAAACCTGTTAGTTTTTGTATTATCTTATTACTGTATGTACAATATGTATAATTTACACTATACATCTTGTATGTAGTTTATATCTGTATATGTATATTATGTTTATTCAATTTATATACATTGGTTTTTATATCTTACAAGAGTATAATGTAACTACTAAGAAAAAGTTTATACTAAATATCTGTTATATGTGTTTTATTTAAAAGACCGGTTGGCCTACTTGCAGTTGTGAATTTTAGTATTAACCACATATATGTAGATGAAGATCTCGAAACGGTACGTTATGTGAACTTAAATGTTTAATATAGCTATAACTGTAAAACAATCTTCTTTTTATTTGAATACGTACATTAAAGCATGTACGTGAAAAGAATATATTAGTTATTTATATAGTTGTAGTTTAGCACAATAAAAGAATGACATATATAATAGTGAGTGATTTAGAAGTATTATATTTAATATTATTATTCCATGGTGGTTTTAGATTACNAAGACTGTACTAGTGATGGTTACAAATTTTATCAACAGATATAATCTAGAAACGGTGAGAGGAGGTTTTATAAATAAAATATAATTTTTAAATAAAAGTTCAAAAATAATTTACAAATTTAAGTTTCTAAAATACAAATTGTTCAATTTGTTCAGTAATTGTTACTTGTGTAAATCACTTTTTTTATGGTTTACACATACTTACACAGTTTAATTTTGTTTTCTTTTGTAGTAATTCTTGTTTTTTGTAGTATAAAACTGTATTCTTCACCACTATTTGACTTCTGCAAAAGTATACAAGATGTTATCATTAATATAAGTTGTACTTTTTTGTAGCCATTATTTATACACGATGTCATTANGAAGAAAATGGTGAAGCGTCGAAGGATTATACGAACCAAGAAAATTTTTATTCGGAATGTACCTCATTACTCACTACACTATTAATCACATGATGATTTTAGCAATTTTTTTGTATAGACATATGCGTTTTAATTTAAATAGAAAATGGTATCTATGTATTGCTGTTAATATCAAAGTTAGTCTTGTATAACAAGATTTAATTTATTTTATGACACAAAAAAGTATTTATTAATTATGTTTAAAATGTAGAATTTACAGACTTTAATACATTTAATAATTTGCAAAGTGATCATAAAATCAAATCAAATGTGTGGTACACGTATTGCTACTATTACACTGTATTTCATTTTACACAACTGCGACTAAGTATACATTTAAGATTAATTGCTCACAAATGAATATATAAAACACACGTTATACAAAAAAACACATTCTGTAGGTATTCAGAGAACATTTTGCGAGTAACATCGTATTCCAGTGCGTCGTTATATGAACAGCATATAATCAGTAAATCTAGACAGAACTTTGTACGTGAATATATTGTCATCACACGCAAGAACGACTTATTCATCCTAAGTATGTAATACACTTTCAAATTAAGAGTAAATAACTTACAATATGTTAGCAATTTGCTTGTTATTTGTTGGTATATTGGATGGGTATTAGATAGATTCTCGTGCGCAATATGCACGTGTGCGCGCGATGAAATATGTTAACAAACAAAATTCAGACAAATCACATAATAAGATTTACATATTTAACGCGCGCAAACCGTGCACGCAAAAATTATTATCTGGATATATAAAACTATAAAATGTATAAAACAGAAGCAATCTATCAAACAGTATTATGTATGATAAAATGATATATGATACTCGTAATGATTTTTTTACGCATGTAAAACCTGATAACCAATAATTGAATTAGATATTATTATGGTATTTATAATTTATTCTGTTTTTGTTTTTAATGTGTTCAAGCAAAATTATGTATAACAAAATCTTATAATAAAAAGAGTATTTGCAAAATGTACTTTACTATGTTGTGACAATTCCTTAGTTCTTATCACTGCGCACTGTTTTCAAGAAAGTTTATGTGAAAACATTGGTATGCTATCTAACATTTTTTTCTAAATTGTCACTGTTCTGTGAATAAAAGTGAGTTTCAATCAAAAAGAACATTTTCTTAGTTACTTATCTTTTTTTTATCTTCACGCGTATTGCATGAAAATGATACGCGTATCAGGCACATTTATAATAATGTAAATAGCAGAACTATAAGTAAAAAACAAATTTTATTTAAGTCACATATCAAAAAGATGTACGGTGAAAACTAAGCCTCTGACGTGATACTGTTCCGTGCTATGTGCGCTTTACGGCGCATGTTGATTTGATATTTTAATTATATCACATTTGAACTACCAGATTATGGCGGACGCATGACACGTAGCCGGCAGAATCACTACGCTTGATTTGGCCACACATATCTCGCGATTATAATCGTCTCGCGCGCAAATGTTACATATGTTTCATAAAGTGTCGAAGTGTTTCGTCGAGTGTTTCGTTGATACCAATATCGATAAACTTTACAGTACTATTGTATCACTGCTACTATGCCAGGCTCGCGCAAGGATAACTAAATTTTGTGTAAAAGAGTAAGTGAGTTTTGCTAGACAACAAATTCGTTCTTGCAAAACGGTGTTTTTATTTTAGTTAAAAAATGTAACTTCTTACGCAATATACTAAAACGAATTATATTCATTTTGACAACTCATTTAGTATGTCTGTTTGCATTATATATAGATAAGACACTTAATATCCACGCGAAAATAAATTGACATGTACATTTTAAGTTTTTATTATATGTTTCTTCGCGCTTTCAAGAGTCAGTGCAGAGAATAAATCTAACTTATACCGCACGCGGATGCGTGGCGAGCAAATTGCGATCAGCGAACATATTTAAGGATAATCACAACTAAGCGTTGCACATGATGTTCCAAAAAATGTAATAATTTAAATTTGCGTGAGACCGACATATACAAAGTGTCCGACAATTAGTTTAACATTTTTTGTAGTAGGATAATAAAAGTAAAACTGAGCAAAAAACTCCTATATCAATCGTGTTTTACGATTTTGGCAATACTTATACAATATGGTGCCGGCTTAGTCTCGTCAGCAAATGTAAGTCAATAAACGGCACAAGATAAAATATTAATTCAACATAAGATATAGTAAGACACTAATACAACAACGATGAAAGCGGAAATATCAAAAAACGACGAAACTCTCGCATAACCAAGTGTTGTTTTTTTTTTGTGCAGAGTTTCGAAACCTAGTTGGATTTTGCAGTTGCTCGCTCAGAATGACAAGCCGAGATTATTTTGCGGATTCGTACGCGATTCACGTGACTTGGTCTAACTTGCGAATATAAGTCAGCGCGTGAGTTTCAATCAGCTGATCGCGTTCAGCCGAGTCGCTGGTAAATATTATTTCTTGTGTAATCACGTGAATAGATTGTATTTATACACGAAAATTACTTCGTTCGACACATGAGCAAGTCTCCGATAACGTTTCGACAGTTTCTGCACGAATGCCGCAAGCACATCAATAGCTTTTCAAACGAGCATCTATACGCTCCGAAAGCTAGCGGTTGTTTTCTCTGTTCTGCGAATAGCGCAAAAACGCTTCGATTGAACAATTAAAAAGTATCTACGTGTTAAATATATTGATCTCATATTATATACATAAACTTAATGTATGTATAATATATATGTATAATACAAATTATACACACATATATAAATTTGTAGCAATTTATAGTAATAATATGCCGTGTTACTGACATAACTTGCTGTACTACATAAATTGTATTATATTACCAGATGTCATGGAAATATTAGGGTTTATTCTTACTAAAATTACATTACATTATTACTATCTATTGAGATTTTAGTTAGATATTGATGTAATTTTGAAAACCGTTGGTAGAATTAATGTTGAAGGTTTACTGAAGTCATGATTGTGGCGCAGACACGACGAGAAAAGAACAAAGGATTCATCGATTATGGCTGCGTTTTGATATTTAAATACTATTATTTTTTACAAACTGCAAAATATTTATATTTTGCGTCACGTGTGCTAAATTTCCAGTACTCGCAGTGAATATCAAATGACAACTTATAGAAGCATTTACTACATATTAAATTCTTCTTCTACAACAGTTAGTCGTGCATCGAAACTCAAATCTCACTAAACTCTAAGAGGAATTACTTTAGTAAGTTGTTAACTATTCACGTAAGAAAATTTATGACATACTAACGCAAAAGCTAATATAGATCATTTTACCAATGTACAGTAGTATGTTCGTGAATATACTACTGAACTATATTCTTATCGTATTGGTGAAATCAAAACGAGAAATAATTTTTCACTTAACATGTCTGTAAGTTACAAAAAGTTGCAACGGTTTCTATACACATGAAACACATTAGTCTGGAAAGGAATATTAAATGTATACTAACATGACGAATATAATAATACTACCTGTGTACTGTTAAATTATCAGGATCGACAAAGATATAAAATACTACTTGGCGAAAATCTGCTCGAAAACACCACGCACGACGCTACACAAGTCATCGCATATGGCTTTGCGTAAAACACGAAACACAAATTTACATAATAAATCAAAAAACTTATGTAGTTCAAGTACGATTTTTAAATGTTGTGAGCGTCTTCCGCCTGTAGAAGTTATTTACTTGCAACAAAAGCAAATCTTGTTTTTTTTGTTGTTTTCTAATCTTTTTATATTATTTTAATTACAAGTTTAGAAAACTGTATATATACTAAACTATTTTTTGAATGAAACATTTTGTTACTAACTGTCTACTAAATAGTGAAAATACATATTTCGAAACTCAAAATTCTATACACACGTACATGTACATACTACAACCTTAGTAAGGTCGTTTTTCCTACTACAAACGTTTACGTCGTGACATGTATTTATTATTTCACGGAAGCGACTGTCTTGTAGTTATCGATCATTTCTCCAAGAGACAAGATCGTAGATATTCTTAGGCAATTCGTTTTTAAACTTATAAAGTGATAATACGTATAAAGTGGTTAATAAGATTTATATTTTAGGAAATAGAGATATTATCTCAAACATGGTAAGTTATGAAAAGCTCGTATATTATGTGTTAAAAGTAGGGGAGACCGGGGCACAAAGTAACATCCAAAATAGATTGTAAAAAAAAAAATTGTACGCAATATTATGCAATATTAGGTACATTATATAATAGTCACATCCTTTAGCTTTAAGAAAAACCAAATATTATTCTTATATATCTTTACACAAAAGAGTATTTTAATGTTAAGTACAATCGCGGAGATTTGTCAACCTGCCCTATACCCAGAGTTAATTGTCACATGTCTTTTATGCAGAGAAACAATAAAAGATAAAATTTCTGTTTTTTATTTTATTAAATTTATTGAGAGTACATAACATTATACATTAAGTATAAAGTATTTATACAATATTAATAATCATATATATATATATATAAAAAAAACAACTTTAAATGATTTCACAATACTAAATCAGATAAAAATTATAAAACATAATTAGTAATCTAATCTTTACTAAAAAAAAACAATGACAGGTACTGAAAAAGTGATAACGACGCATAACGATCACTGCGATTACTTCTTCGCGCATGCTCACCGTGTGACGACTTATCCCGTCTCAATTTAAGTCAACTTATCCCAAACGTTCATTTTAAATAAAAGATATTATATNTATAAACTGCGATGCGATGAAGATTAAATAAATATAGGAAAACTTATTTAAAACTACCATATTTCCTATACATAAGATAAAATTGCAATTAGAAATTTTAAAATCAATGAAATTACTAAAGAATCGAGATCAGAAAAATCTACTTGCCATATCCAGTTTTACAAAAGTGCTCGTAAATATCATATATAATGTTTTTCAGAAAAGTTCTTTCGTACACGTTACTAGCACAACTAGTAGCAACTTACAATAAAAAGAAGAATATTTTCCAAGATTTAGTAAGCAAGATAATAGCAGTTTGACAACTAACCCCGTGTCACAACTAGCCCCGGTCTCCCCTATTCATATTTATTGTTGTCAAATATATCTTTTCGTTTTCACCACACGCAAAAACTTTATAAAATCTATTATTTTTTCTTTATATTTATAAAAGTTATATCACTTTTGTTTTAACATATATTGTATAAAGTTTAATACTTGTATAAATAAACCATACATCAATATTACGTAACTACTACAACATCTACATCTATCATAGTTACATTGGCAATTTGCAATGTGTGACATACTATATAATTAAAACGCGTTCAAAAAATGTAGACAAAGTTTTCGAGTACAACTTTGCTCGTACAAATGATATTTTGTCAAAATTGTTTAGCACATTTTGTACTTTCCTATCTTCAATCGTTCTACTATACGTCACATTAACGCAATCATGACAACTATTATGTAAGTGTACGTGTATGCGTACGTAAAAAATATACAAACATCGAAACCAAGTGATAAACATTTCTTATAACGGTCATACACGTCTGTCCTTGACAATTATATCTAAAAAAAAATTGCCATTTGATGAGTACCTATTAAATTTATTTGTCTTTATTTGCATATAAATTTCTTATTTAACAAACAAAATAATTTTATAGGTTTATAATATGCAGATGCTTACATTTCTTGGAACATTGTGCTTAATAATTTTACCCGGAATTGCTTTTTCAACTGATGAAAATTTATCTCAAGATCTACACTGTATACAACCGATTGAATATATTATGAATATTTCAGCGGATGTACATAATAATTCACTCAACGTCAATTCTCGTGTCAAACTCAACATTTCATGTACAGACCAGAAAATACGACTGTTTGTCAAACACTATTGTAATGTTATATACGATTTTAACATCACTACTAACATTCCTCGGCATAA